TGACGTTTTGAGATAAAGGTATAAGAGAAGCGTGAAGAAGTTTTGGTACAGTATGACGAGTTGGTAACCATCGATTTCCTTGATTATTTGATATAGGCATGTCGCTTTCCATATCGGTTGGATCATTTGAATATGAAGGATTGCATGTCGTGGAATTTACCAACATACGTTTTTTCCTAATCAGTTTTTTAGAATGAGGATTGTTAGATACCGATTCTTTTGAAGGCAATGGTACCATTCCAGGATATTTTTGCGTATAAGTTGAACTAAAGTGACCCAGGGATGAACGTTTTGAAGACAAAACCACCGTTTTTGAATATGCTTGCGCGCTCACATTTGCATCATACAATCGACTTTGCCTCTTAGTCTTTACTATATGTGTTGGTTTTCTTGATCTCAATCGATCTTTCTGTTTTAAAACAACTTGAGATTCTAAAGATTCAGGAAACTTTGCATGTTGATCCTCATAACCTTGAATAACATTTGTAAAAGATTTACTGATATTATTTTCGATTTTATGTGGTAAAGAAGAGCTAATATTATTATCGATTTTACGTGGTAAAGAAGAGCTATTATTATTATCGATTTTACGTGGTAAAAAAGAGCTAATATTATTATCGATTTTACGTGGTAAAGAAGAGCTATTATTTGAATTATTTTTTTTCTGAGAACTCTGATTTTCAACTTCAACAACTTGAAGGGTAGTTATAGTAATACCACCAAAAAATGGATGTTCTTGTTCTGATACATGTGAACACGTACTTTCTCTTTCCAAATTCTTTGCTTCTAATGTAACCATGGAATTTGTAATATTTGATGGAGCAGGTATTATTTCTTGTAACATAGGAGATGTTGTAGGAGATTGTACAAGTGATTCAGAGAATATCTGATTCGTATCTTGTGCAGACTCTTCAATACAATCTACATCTTTCAACTTAGACTTATTATAGTCATACCAATTCAATTCATACGTAGCATGTCTTCTAGCTGCAATTATATCACTCTTTTTCGTTTCACTTGAACGACGTTGGTCGTCAAGTTTTACGCGCATAGATCTTGAAACTTGATGTGTGACGACGGATTCGCTCGAACGACGATATACTTGCAGCATGGCTTCCATAGATCGTATCATATGAAATAATTTGTTTTTAACAAGACTAAAAATTGTAATTTCGATAGAATATAATAAATTGATTATAATTCATCGATTATAATTGATTATAATTGATTATAATTGATTATAATTGATTATAATTAGTTGATAATGAAATACATATTTAAAAGAAGAACCAAAAAAAAAGGAAAGGCAAAACAAACTTGCGGATTTAAAGGAAGGTGATTATCTTATTTACAGCAGTTGGAGCTGTTATGACGTTTCGTTTCTTTGTTATAAATCCTTCCGGATGAATAAATATTCTTTCTGAAAAAAAAATAACAAAAGTTCTAATCACATTAAGGATAATATTAATAATATTAAGATTTTTGAATAGAATTAAATCCAAGACTTGTAAATTTCTTGTAATAATATCTTGTAGTAATAAGATATCAGATATTTTCGAAATCATTTGATTATTTACACTTGATATCAGATATTTTCGAAAAAAACCTAGATTCTTTATCCAAATTTGATTTTACAGATTCTTTATCCAAATTTGAAGTTACAGAAAACTTAGATTCTTTATCCAAATTTGAAGTTACAGAAAACTTAGATTCTTTATCCAAATTTGATAATGCAGAAAACCTAGATTCTTTATCCAAATTTGGATCAAAAGAAAAACTTTAATCATCCCTAAAATGATTATTAAAGGATACGGTGCCAGCCAAAAAAACGTCAAAGTAAAATCAGCGGCGGGAAGGCAATATATTTGGCAAGGGTGGAAGTTCACTAAAGAACTTTCCTTTTCCCTTTTTTTTTTATACGTATATATTGATGGCGTTGGATACTTCACTTATAAATGAAATTGACAAACCGACGCGCTGAAAAGGTGAAAACAAATGTAGGGATCATCAGAGCTTTATTATAGAGAAAAATGATCATTACGAATTTTAAAAATTTTAATTGTACGACGAGATTAATAATAGATTAATAATAAAGTAATAATATAGTACAGTTACTTATGCTATAAATTTAATACGTATAAAGCGTCATTTGAATTTAATCATTTGCTTGTATTAATCGGTCCGCATACCAACCAATAACAATGGATTTGGTTTCGCATTATTCGCATTATTGTATTCAATCTTTAGTGCATTAAACATGTTATACCATTCAATTTTAAAATTACTAACTATATTTGTGTAATGATTTGTGTAATATTACATGCAAGGAATATTTTTGTTACTTGATAGGTTCTTTTTGTTTCATATGTTGACGCTTAATTCTGATACTTGTACGTACGTACTGTTTCGGCCTAGATCGGGAGAACTGGTTAATTTAATATATGCATGCATGCATCAAGTCGATCCACATTGTCGACTGGAGATGCTATATATGTACGATATGTAAATACGAACCTGAATCGATCATTTTCGGTATTTAATGTTCGATTTTCGACTTTAAGTTTATTAAATCCAAAGAAAAAAGATTTATAATCTAGAAACAGTAATATAAGCATTGTAATTTAAAATTACCTACGTATGTATTTATTTTTGACGCGAATTATGCAGAGTAATAAAATGTTGGTAACCTTTTAATTTCCAGTGAAGCGCATTTATGCAATTAAATAACCATAATTAAATAAACATAAAATTTGTTTGCATAATGTATGATTATGATTACTATGATGACACACTTTTTAAAGAACGGTTTTTAGATGTTTAAACCTTTCTAACGGAAAGTTTTGACGTATGTTTTTGTTTTTTTTTGTGATCACTTTATAACAAACAATTTTTTGTTGACCAAATTTGTTGGACCTATTAATAAATTATTCATGTATGCGATTTCGTGCAGGTAATATGTGGTGATGTGATCGTGCGACTTTGAAACACGAAAAGGGTCCACATAAAAATATATAAACATATCGAATTAGAATAGAACAAAGGTGAACACTTGCTGTCCTTATTTATATTTTTCTATCATCTATGTATGGTAAAAGGCATTATTTTCCAACATTGCTATTTCTGTCCGATGAACAAAAACGATAAAAAAGGAAACTTAAAGATTCAAAGTTAAAATAATAGCTCTATAACGATAAGTAGATAACGATAAGTAGATAACGATAAGTAGATAACGGTAAGTAGTATTAACTTTATATACCTGATACCTGATACCTGATACATATGTGGATACTTTGTAGAACAGAAAGGGATGAGACGCAAAGTGCAGGACAGCATAATATTAAGTAGAGATAAAAAAAAAATCATCATTTTTAATTACATATGCGGCTATAAATTATGTGAACCATAAGAATCGGGTAAAATTTCGTTTACACGTGGTAATCATTTAATGTCGCAGTAATTTTTAACATACATGAAATTTAACGCTGCGATTGATGTTCCATAAATGGATTCCATTTATTATCAAGAACATACCTGATACTGAAAGTATGATCTTTGACAAGTTAGATGAATTTTTCTTTCTAATAAAGTCTTTGTTAAAAATTTGGTTTAATTTTAATATAGAACGAAATTTTTTTTGAAAAAAAATC